CCCCCCTTTTGGCTTGTTTTTTTTTTTTTTTTTTTTTTTTTTTTTTTTGCCAGAGGGCACATGTACTTGCTGGAGAGAAATACAGAAAAAGAGAGAGCGATAGAGAGAGAGGGAAAGTGAGAAAGCACCTCCTATGGGGGATAGTCATGCCACAATCCCTTCTCCATTTCTCCCTCCTTTCAAGATTTTGGGCATATATGCCTGCCATATTTTTCAAGCTTTCAGGTCTAGGACTCAAACCGTGTAGTCAGTCATGTGGGATCCAGTACTTTAACTGCCATGCCACTAGCTGCTCCCTCCTACAGGCTTTTTTTTTTTTTTTTAAAGAATTTTTAAAATTTAACTTATTTATTTATTTTGATTTGACCAGAGTGGGACAGAGAGAGAGAGGGAGAGATAGAGAAAGTGTGAAAGCAAGCCTCCAAGTCTGGGACTCAAACTGCAATTGGCCATGTGAGAGTCCAGCACCCCTAACCACCACACCACCTTCCGGCCCTCCTACGGGTTATTTTAAGCAAATTCCTACACCTGCCACTTTGTGTTTCAAACAGCCATTGTTCTGACAACTTACGACCAGTGTTCCAAAACTGACTGCCAGACTTCTATGCACTGGATACCATCGTCTCTAATCCCCTGACCCTCAGGGTACTAGCAATGGTCATCTCATGTACTGTCACCTGATCCTTGGTGACCAAATGATAGTCCAAATGTTTGGAATGCCTGGGATTCTCTTGTTGACAGCCAGTGTTCTAATAAGGAACACCCTGGTATTCTAGTAACCATCTTGTAACAATGAAAACCTGTTGGAACAACTAGACACCCAGGTGGTGGTTGTAGCTTTCTGAATCAGCTGACACTCACTTTCTCCCAGTAGACATTTTCCTAAATCCTGTGCTTTGACCAACTGATGCTGAACATTGTTAGTGATTGCCACAGGATGTTCTGGATAGTGGATTACTCAATGATCTGAATAAACAGTAATACACTTGTTCTGGGCTAATTGCCAAGCCCAGGACTTTAAAGGGCAGTCATTGTCCCAATCATGCCTATGACTCAGGGCTTGAGCCCAGCTGAAGGTGGGGTCAAGACCCTGAGGCTTTAAGGACTGAGCCTGTGCATTCCTCATCTTGGAGCTCCCTCTGCAGGGAAGAGCTGGTGGTGCCCTGTGGACTTAATTTGCCCAGGCCCTCGCATGCCCTAGCGCACAGTCAGTGACCATCTCTCCTTTGCATGGCCCTCTCCTGTGAAGAGCCAAGAGCAGCGTTATCAGTGCCTTACACGCCATCTGGGCCAATGACTTGATTATATAGGTTTGTAAACCGAGGGCCAGAATGGGCCCCAGGTCTGCCCATGGTCACACAGTAACTGCTTTTCAGTGAGTTGTTTGAAGTCCCACCCATCTCCCAGCTGACAGTCCTCTGGCACTTACGCAGGTGGGTAGCTGGTGGCATCTCTGATTCCTTCCCAGGGCTCCAGGGGCTCTGGGGGAGCAAACCTTCGGGCTCCCACAGGAGGTCTGGAGTAGGGGACTCCTAGGAAGACGTGGATAGGCATCTTCCCCACGTGCATCTGTTTTCCTTGGAGAGTGCCGTGTTTAGTAACCACTAGAGGATCCTTGTTGTACGAGGCACCTGGAAAGAGAAGAGAGAAAGGGCACCCTGGTGTAGCCACTTGGCACATCCTCAAACTCTCAGGGCCAGGTGGCCCAAATGACCTCTCTGCCCATGTTGCAGGTCTGCCAAGGTCATTCTGCCTGACTCCTATTGCCGAGGGTTAATGAGGCCTCACAGCTACTGTCCCTTCCTGAAGTGCTTTTGTCCATTCTCTCTTCTTTATCAAAACCCAATTGTTCACTGCCTTGGTCTTTTGAGTTTTGAGAGCCAGTCTTTTTCTTTTACTTTTTTTGCCATAGGGCACATGTGCTCACTGGAGAGAGACGGTGAGAGAGAAAGCGAGAAATCACCCCCAGGGGGAGTGAAAGAGAGAAGTCACACCCCAGGGGGCTGGATACTCGCACTCTCGTCTCCTTCTTTCTCTTCTTGGGATTTTAGGCATGCATGTACAAGTGCCCTATGTGAGTTTCAAGTCACCAGGTCCAGGACTTGAACTGCAGTCGGCCATGTGGGAGTCCAGTGCCTTTAACTACCATGCCACCTGGCGACCCCAAGGCCCATTCTTTTTTTTTTTTTTTTGGAGAGATTTTTGCTATAGGACGCGTGTGCTCGCCAGACAGACAGAGAGAGACATAGAGACAGAAAGCGAGAAATCACCCCCCAGGGGGGATGGTCACGCCGCAATCCCTTCTCCTCCATTCTCCTCTCGGGATCTTGGGCACGCACGCACACACGCCCGGCGTGAGTTTTAAGCCACCGGGTCCAGGACGCGAACCGCGGTCGACTACGTGGGAGTCCAGCGACATAGCCATTACGCTAACTGCTGGTTCCCGCAAGGCCCATTCTTTAAAGAGACAGAAAACAAATCTGATCCAAGTAATTATTGAACCTGGATGTGCATCAGAATTATCTGGGTTTACAGACTCCCGGGCCCCACCCCACACTTTCTGAATGAGAACCTCAGGGTTGCACAAGGAAATAAGATTTACAGACTTCCCTAGCAGATTTTGATGCAACTAGTTTTTAAAATAGCATTTGGAAGTGGTGTGGTAGAGCACATCCTCACACTCTCAGCTGCAGGTGGCCAAAAATACCTCTCTGCCCACGTTTCAGGTCTCCCAAGGTCTTACGAAAGCAATATCTGGGTGCCAAGGAGTGACTGTAATGGTGGCTGGTGGCCCTTCGGGCATGGAAGCATGCCAGCAGGGACAAGGGCCACCTTAGACTGCCTCTGTGTGTGAAGCCCTTTGCAGTTTACAAACATGAGCGTCTTTTTCTTCTTCTTTTTTTTTTTTAAGAGAGATTTTTGCTATAGGGCATGTGCACTTGCCAGAGATGCAGAGAGAGACAGAGAGGGAGAGAAAAACTGAGAAACCCACCCGGGGGGGATGGCTATTCGGCAGTCCCCTCTCTTTTACTCTCCTCTTGAGATTGTGGGCATGCACGCACATGTGCCCAATGTGTTTCAAGCTGCTGGACCCGGGACTTGAACCATAGTTGACCATGTGGGAGTCCAGTGCCTTAATCACTATGCCTCCTGCTGGCCCCACAAACGTGAGCTTCTTACATAGACCTCTTATTGGCCTTGGGAGGAGCTGGGAGGCCCAGAAAAGGACACTGACCAGTCTGGAGTCTCAGAGCCAGGAGGCTGAGGTGTGTCACATTACCTGGATTTGCCCTGAATCCAGGGCCTATTCATAATGGAATAGCCAACAGCTATAATTTACTGATCTTTTATTAACTGGAACTCAAATGGGTTATGTAATTCGCCTGGTTACATAAGGTCATAACAGGAGAATCTCACATCAGAGCTCTGTTCTAAACCATGTTTTCCTGTCTTCCTCCAGCCTCTTGTTATAGTGACCCCTGAGTAAGAGTTGCCCCAGAGTGGTCCCGACTCTAGCTCTGCTCCCCAGAGGTAACATGCAAATACTGAAGAAAACAGTATTTGAACTTCGTGGTAGTTACAGAGTGCTAGTTAAAACCAGGACTCACAGGGACCAGCAGTTAGCGTAATGGCCATGTCGCTGGACTCCCACGTAGTCAACCACGGTTCGTGTCCCGGACCCGGTGGCTTAAAACTCATGCCGGGTGCGTGTGCATGTGTGCCCAAGATCCCAAGAGGAGAATGGAGGAGAAGGGATTGTGGCGTGACCATCCCCCCTGGGGGGTGATTTCTCGCTTTCTGTCTCTCTGTCTCTCTCTGTCTGTCTGGCGAGCGCACGCGCCCTATAGCGAAAACCTCTCCAAAATAAATAAATAAATAAAACCAGGACTCACAACTTCCACCTATTAAATTAAGAAATAGAGACAGGCCAGCAGGGGCGTGGTGATTAAAGTGGCTGGATCCCACATGGCCAAGTGTGTAGTTTGAGTCTTGGGCTTAGTGGCTTAAAAAACATACTGGGTACATGTGCATGTGTGCCCCAAATCCCAAGACAAGAGCAGAAAGGATTGCAGTGTGGCCATCCCCCCCCAGCCCGGGGACTGCTTTTTCACTTTGCCTCTGTGTCTCTCTTTGGTGAGCCTACACATCCTATGGCAAAACTGTTAACTCACTGGACAGAGGAAGCCTGATCCCACATGGCTAACCAGTGTTCGAGTCCCACTAAGTGGTGTGAAAAACATGCTCGGTCCACGACATACATCCAGATCCTTATGGAATGGAGATTGGGAGGAAAGAAGATTGAAGCAAGACAGCCTCATTAGGGGGTGTGCTCTCTCTGTCTTTCTTATGCATGAGCACACACCCTCTGGAATTTACAAAAGAAAATTAAGAAAGAAGTGGTGGTACCCAATTCAGGTGAAGATACAGTGACAAGGACACATATACTGTGGTGGAAGATAAATGGTTACGACAGCTTCAGGAAATAATTAGACAAAATGTATAGCCACACAATGTTTCCATGCTTCGACTCAGTAATTCCACTGCTTGGTCCCTCCCCTATGAAAAGAGTCGGAAACAGGTTAAAGGATGGGTTGGATCCATAGCACAGTGGTATTGCGCTGCTCAAGAGACTCTGGATGGGATCAGCAGTTAGCGTAATGGCTACGTCATGGACTCCCATGTAGTCGACCGCGGTTCGAGTCCTGGACCTGGTGGCTTAAACTCATGCCGGGTGTGTGTGCATGCGTGCCCAAGATCCCAAGAGGAGAATGGAGGATAAGGGATGGCAGTGTGGCCATCCCCCCCCGGGGGGTGATTTCTCACTTTCTGTCTGTCTCTGTTTTTCTGGCGAGCACACGTGCCCTATAGCAAAAACCTCTCCAAAAAAAAAGAGAGAGGGAACCAGCAGTTAGCGTAATGGCTATGTCGCTGGACTCCCACGTAGTCGACCGCGGTTCGTGTCCCAGACCCGGTGGCTTAAAACTCACGCCGGGCGCGTGTGCGTGCGTGCCCAAGATCCCAAGAGGAGAATGGAGGAGAAGGGATTGCGGCGTGACCATCCCCCCCGGGGGGTGATTTCTCGCTTTCTGTCTCTATGTCTCTCTCTGTCTGTCTGGCGAGCGCACGCGCCCTACAGTGAAAATCTTTCAAAAAAATAAAAAAGAGAGAGAGACTCTGGATGCATGCATGGCGACTGTGGTTCGAATCCCAACACACTGGACCCACATGCTAATGCCCTCGATCTGACATGCTGGAGGACTGGAGAAAGGGGATTGTGGTGTGGCAAGACCTGGGGAGGCTACTCATCTTTCTTTTTCTCTCCCTCACTCTCGTAAGTGTGTACTCTTATATGCTCTGTTGTGAATAAAGAAAAAAGTAAAAGAAACACATTAAAACAAATACTTTTCTGAACCACAGTGCTCTGTTCTCTATTGAATACTGGAAGCATCTTTTATATCTAGGAAGCAAGCAAAGTAAATACAACTATAAACTTGGACCAGTCCTGGGGCCTCGTGGTTAAGGTAAGTAGGAGCCCATATGGCCAACCATGAAGTTTGAATCTCAGCCCTGAAGACTTGGAAAACATGTCAGGCACGTATGTGTGCCCCGAATCCTGACAGGAAGGAGAAGGGATTGTCAGCAGGACCAAGGCGCATTGGGGGTATTTTTCACTTTCCTCCTTTCTCTCTGTCTCTCTCTGGCAAACACACATGCCCTCTGGCAAAAGAGACAAGCAAAAAACGACAAAGTTATCTGTTTAATAAGATTTTTTTTTTTTTAAGAGAGAGACTTTTTGCTATAGGGCTCATGCACTCTCTGGAGAGACAGAGAGGCAGAAAGCAAGAACTCACCCCCCATAGGGAACAGCCATGCCTCAGTCCTTTCTCCATCCTCCCCTTGAGACTTTGGGCATGCATGCACGCATACCCAGTGTGAGTTTAAGCTGCCAGGTCTAGGACTTGATCCATGGTCGACTACATGGGAATGCAGTGATGTAACTATTACGCCATTTGCTGGTCCCTGTTTAATGAGATTTTAAGTGAAAGAAAACAGAGTATAGAACTGTGTGTATGCTAATATTTCAACTATATACAGATATGAGAAAGGAAGGCTAACAGAGAATGCACCAAAATGCTAAAGGCAGTTTTAGCAAAGTTTCTCTCAAATTAAAAAAAAAATAAAGTGGGATCAGCTGGTGGCATGACGGTTGGGGTGGCTGAATCCCACATGGCCAACTGTGCAGTTCAAGTCCCAGACCCAGAGGCTTGTAAAACATGCTGGGCATGGGCGTGTTCATGCCAAAAATTCTGAGAGAAGTGGTTACAGAGTGACCATCCTTCCCGGGTATGCTTTCTTACTGTCCCTCTTACTCTGTCTCTGGTAAGCATACCTGCCCTATAGCAAAAACAAATACAAAAGTATATGCAAAACGAATTTTTGATAGAGGTCAGAATAGTGGTAACTTTGAGGGTATCGATTAGTAAAGGGCATACGGGGTGCTGGAAAACTTCTAGATATTGATATATAATATATGATACAGAGTACCCGGCCGCCTGAGCACCATGCTGGTATGTGTGCATGCGTGCCAAAGATCCCGAAAGGAGAAATGGAGAAGAGGTTACGGAAGCCGTTCCCATGGGGGGGCTTTCTCACTTCCTCTCCCTCTGTCTCTGACGAGCACATGTGCCCTCTGGAAAAAAAAAAAAAAAAGTATGAAAGTAATTTTGAAAAGAAAGACAGACATTGAGGAGATATTTGTGGGAGTGAAGAGGCCCATGTAGGGGAGAGGGATGTTGAAGCAGGACCCCTGCTGGGAAGAAGGAAGGAGAGAGGGTCAGAGGGAGAGAAAGGAGGGCAGATATGGACCTATGTTCTTTGGTCCCTTCCTCGGTTATGGGGGGTGGGAGACCCACTCCCTGCTTTGCAGAGCTTCTCTGAGGCCTAAGAAAGTCAAGGAACTTGGGGGCTGGCAGGTGGCATGGTGGTTGAGGGCGCTGGACTCCCATGTGGCTAACGGCAGTTCAGGTCCTAGACCTGGAGGTTTGCTTTCTCCCTTTCCCTCTCTTTCCCACTCTGTCCCTCTTTGGTCAGATTTAAATAAATAAATAAATAAATAAATAAATAAATAAATAAATAAATATAAAATAATTACTAAAAAAAAAAAGTCAAAGAACTTGTCCAGACTTGCGGCTGGTGGGTAGCTTAGTGCCCCGAAATGCCTCCCTCTGTCTGCCCAGACGTTGCCTAGGTGCCCCTGCTCTGCTGTCCCCAGAGGAGGCTGAGCTCGGGCCTGGCCTTGCTTCCCTTGGACCCCTCTTTCCTGACACCCTCAGGAAGGGTTGGGGAGGGTCTTACCTAGGGACGTCTGCACCATGAGGCAGAGAGTGAGGCTCAAGCATAGAATCCCCCACATGCTCCGGCCAGCTCCTGCTCCAACTGGACTGGAGTCGCCCCGGATGTCAGATGGTAGCGGTGTCTGCAGTGCCTGAGCCCCAGGCAGTCCCACCTTTATCCTCCCTTAATTCTTAGGAGCAGGCAGGACTCATCAGTAGGGTAGAAGAAATTGCGACTAGCTTCCGACCAGCCCACAGTCTTGTCTCTGTCTCAGCCTTGGGGTGACAGGTCACACTCCATAGTCTTGGCTCTTTAAACAAACTGACCAGACTGCAATCCCCGCCCATTTCGCTCATCTATACAATGGCTCAAAGTTGCGTTTGGTCTGGGAGACTGTCCAGAACACACGGAAGAGTGTTTACATGGTGAGTGTCCTGTAGCCCTGTTGACAACAGCCGCATACCTACATGGCCAGAGGGAATGGGTGATGGCAAAGGGTGTTACGTGCACAGAATAAAACATGGGCACGCTCCACCAGATTCTACAGCAGCGGGGGGCTTGGCCCGGTGGTTCTGAGCCAGGCTGCCAGGGTCTACATCCTAGCACCACCGCTTACAATGACAGCAATGTGACCTTGGATAAATTACTTAGCTTTGGAACCAGCAGATGGCATAATGGTTATGTTGCTGGACTCCCACCTAGTCGACCATGATTTGAGTCCCGGACCCGGTAAAACTCAGGCCAGGCATGTGTGCATGCGTACCCAAGATCCTGAGAGGAAAATGGAGGAGAAGGTGTGGCCATCCCCCCTGGGGGCGGGAGTGATTTCTTGCTTTCTGTCTCTCTGTCTCTTTGGCAAGTGCACATGGCCTGTAGCAAAAATCTCTCTCAACGGGCCGGTAGGTGGCGTGGTGGTTAAGGGTGCTGGACTCTCTCACATGGCTGATGTGGTTCGAGTCCTGCACCTGGCAGCTTGCTTTCTCACTTTCCCTCTCTCTCTCATTTGCTCTGTCCCTCTCTGGTCAAATTAAAATAAAGAAAATTAAAGAAAATAATTATTTTTAAAAAACCTCTAAAAATTAGCACAATCATAGTGGTTGTCTCACAATGTTGTAGTGATGTTGTCACTAGGATTGAGAGAGGGCTGATGTGGTTAAAGAACTTGAAACAGGTAGATTTTGAAATTGTATATTGAAAATGACCAGATTAGTCATGGAAGGGTCTCATCAAAATACTCCAGAGAGGGCCAGCCAGTGGCATACTGGTTAAAGTGCTGGACCCCACAGAGCCGACTGTGCAGTTTGAGTCTTAGACCTGGTGGCTTGAAGAAAACTCCAGAGACGTCTAAAGTAACAGACAGGCAGGACTGATGCCGAAATGGTGTTTGTGGCTGCCTAGGATGGCAGGGTCATCAGCGACCTCGATTTTCTTCCCCTTTTTAAACTTTTTTATTTTTAAGAATTATTTATTTAATTTTATTTATTATAACCATAAATCAACAAAGTAGATGTGATCATTTTAAATGATCAAAATCAATCAAATTATTTTCAAAACAATCCAGTAGCATTTATAGACTCAAAAGAGTCCTGAATATCTCATAAGTTCTGATAAGTAGTTTTTACTCTAACTAATCTTTTTTTTCTAGTTTTTAATTTTTAGGTTTTTGCCATAAGGCACAAGCACTTATTGTGGGGAGAGAGATAGGGAGAGGGACAGAGAGACAGAGAGACAATGAGAGGGAATGTGAGAAACCGTCCCCTAGGGGAGATGGCCATACCACAATTTGCTCTCTTCCATTCTCCTCTCAGGATTTTGGGCACACAGGCACATGGGCCTGGCATGATTTTCAGACTGTCAAGTCTAGGACTCGAATCGTGGTCAGCCATGTGGAAGTCCAGTGCCCTTAACCACCATGCCACCTGCCGGCCCCAATTTTATTTATTATTTAATTTGACCAGAGAGACACAGAGAAAGAGAAAAAGAGCAAGTGAGAAAGCAAGTCAGCAGGTCTGGGACTCGAACTGTGGTCGGCCATGTGGGAGTCCAGCACCTCAATCACCATGCCACCTGCCAGTCCCCCTTTTTAAGCTTTTTATATTTTTCATATTTCTTTTAATGAGCACAAATGAAGGGTTCATAGTCAATGTGGGGTTTAAAGAGGCAATGAAGGGGGACCAACAGTTGGTGTAATGGCTATGTTGCTGGACTCTCATGTGGTCGTCTGCAGTTGAATCCCGGACCCAGTGGCTTAAACTCACACCGGGCTCGTGTGCGTGTGTGCCCATGATCCCGAGAGGAGAATGGAGAAGGGATTGCAGTGTGGCCATCCTCCCTGGGGGTGATTTCTTGCTTTCTGTCTCTCTGTCTCTCTCTGTCTTTCCGGCGAGTGCATGCGCCCTATAGCAAAAACCTCTCCAAAAAAAAGAAAAAAAGAGGCAGGATCGGGGCAGGACCAGGGAAGAAGGGACTGCGGCAGGTCCCTGTGGCCTGGGCCACGTGCCTTCTGTTGAGCGCCTTCCTCTCATTAGCACCCCATTCTGCCAGGTTCCCCTGTGGGCTGTGGTCACATCAGCAGAGGTGGGCGCCCAGGCTGTGGGGTGAGAACGCTGCTTGCTTCTGCTGCTCGGGCTCTGACAAAGTTGGCTTAGCGACATGAGCAAGCAATGCGGAGTGTGTCCCTCCAAGCCCAGGCCAAGGCGTAGGGAGGAAGACTGGGGAAGGAGGTCGTGGAGGGCAGTGAGACTGTGAGTCCACATGCCAAGCCTGCCCCCCCCCCAGACTCTGTACCCACATGAGCAGCTCCTCGGCCGGTTCTGCGTGGGCTTTAAGGAAGAGTCTTGCCAACAGCTGGCTCGCTCCTGCCACCCCTCCCCAGGCAGGAAGCCACCTTTCACCTGGCCCAGATGGGACACAGTTGTGCTGGGCCAAGCCCTTGCCGAGGCACCTCAGACACACGTGAGTCCCGTCCCAGGCTCATGCGAGGAGAAGGGGATGTTGACTGGGCAGCTGGCTGAGCCAGGTGGCCTGGTGCAACATTACCTGAGAGATCAGAACCAGCCCTCAGAAAGCAGGGTGCTAGTTTCTTGAGTCTCGTGGTAGATTTTCTTGAGAACAATCCTAGGTTTCATGACTGAACAAAGGGAAAATAGGTGATGGTGGGAAGCGAGCGCTGATCTGAGTCTGACAGACATAGGCTTGGAGCCGACTTGGTCCCGTACCATGCCTGTGTCCCAGAGCGCCGTGCTGAGCCTGTAAGCTGGACCTAGCAATGACTTGTTCTGTGGGTTACCATGAGGAGCGAACAGTTGCTGCTAGGTCCAGTGGGCAGGACTGCACCGACAGGCCAGTGTGGTGGAGGCTGAGGTTTGTGTCATTTCCCACGTCTGAGGCTGTTTTCCTGTTTGTTTTTGTGTAATTTGCTATGGGCCCTGTGCTCGCTGTGGAGTGGGGGTGGAGAGAGAGAGGGACAGGGAGAGAGACAGAACCCCCCCAGGGGAGATGGCTACGCCACAGTCCCTTCTCCTCTGTTCTCCTGTTGGGATTTTGGGCATGCATGCACACGTGTCTGGCATGTTTTTCAAGCCACTGAGTCCAGTACTAAAACCTTGCTGTCAGCCATGTGGGGTCCGGCCACCTTAACCACCATGCCACCAACTGCATGCTTTACTGTTTAAAGAGGAAAGCTGTAATTACAGAAGATGATAGAAATGCTTTTTCATTTTATTTTTCTGTCATAACTGATTTAAATGGTAAGTATATAAAAGAATGTGTATGATGTACTACTGGGTCTGTAACATTTAGAGGTGGGAAATAGGCCAGCCACAGTGACACAGTGCTAACTCCGTTCTCTGCAATGCTGAAGTCAGGAACGACCTGGGTTCGTTTCCTAAGGCCTCTGTGTACACACCAGGCACACGTGACCTTGGCTGCCGTAGGTCAGGGGTGGTTCATGGTGTGAGATTAATGTTGGGGTGCCTGTCTCTCTTTCTCTGTCTGTCACTGTAATGGGAGAAATAAACTAAAAGAAAGAACTAAAAAACTGGCCAACTGCACAGTTCAAGTTCCAGACCCGGTGACTTGAAAAATATGCCAGGCACATGTGTGTGCATGCCCCAAATCCCAAGAGGAGGAGGTATTATGGGATGGCCACTCCCCTGAACCCCCCTCCCAATGCCTTTTCAGTTTCTTTCTTCTTTTTAAAGGATTATTTTATTTCACATGTATTTATTTATTTATTTAAATTTGCCTAGAGAGGGACAGAGAGAGAGAGAGAGAGAGGAAGCAAGCTGCCAGGTCCAGGACTTGAACTGCCATTAGCCATGTGGGAGTTCAGCACCCTTAACCACCACGCCACCTGCTGGCCCCACTTTTTCACTTTCTCTCTCTCTCTCCAGAGAATGCACACACTCTATAGCAAATTTTAAAAAAGAAAAAAAGAAAGAAAAATTTGCCAACAACAGCATAAAGCAAAGCCACCCTGACATTGCAGACTTGATCAGGGGGGCTGAGCCCTGGGTCCGGCTGAGGGGAGTACTGTGCACACAGACCGACCCCTGGGGACACAGTCCAGGCCCAAGGCCAGTGGGGAGGCTCCCGTGGGCATCTGAGTGAGGGTGAATCTGGACTCTGTTGTCTCTGGGCTGTCAGTCATGCTCTGAAGCTGTCCCCTTGCAAGCCCCTCCCTCCGGGCTGTTCTTGCTGGCCTTGCTGCTTATGAGAATCCCAGTCCCCCAGCTGGTCAGCCCATGGCCCCAGTGCCAGCCTCTGGGAGCCTACTCTATACAGGGGGCACATCATGAGGGGGAAGGACTCGCAATTTGGAGGCCAACAGTCTTGAGTCCTGGCTTGAGTCCTTGATCTCACTCTCTGTGTGGCCTCGGGCTAGGCCCGTCCCTCTCTGATTCTCGATTTCCTTATTGGTAGAGCGGGGTCCACTGAGAATCCCAGAGGTCTGTCTGGAGGCATGAGAGAGAGAGTGACCATGAGTAAGCTTGGGTTCCAAGGAGAGCTCAGCTGCTTCCTAGGCCTGAGATCCTCAGAGGCAAAGGGGCCAGCTCAGGGCCAGGAAGGAGGGGCACGAGCCCT